CAGCACCGGAGGTCATCAGTCCTAAAGCCTAAATTACAAAATCACTGAATCCGACCCTGACGCCAGCGGTCCCCAAGCCCTCCAAAAAGGCCCCCTATAAAGCTGATAGTCGCACGTATCACATAGCTTTTGCCACTTCCCGCACTTGCTCGGAATGCGATACGGTTGTTCCATCTTCTTCCCTTCTCGCTCTCTCTCTCTCTCTCTCTCTCTTTCTCCCTTCCTGTCTGTCTCAACACGGTTCTTTTGAAAGGCCGGGAGACGAGGTCCAAACACAGGAGGTCTTGTCAACGCAGACGCAAAGGTCGCGCAAGGTTTTCTGGGGCCTATAGGATTCAGTCTCAAGGACGCTTGCAAACCCCAAACCCTCCGAGCTTGGGTCGCAGCTTTACGTGACTGGAGCTGTCGTCTCGCAATTCGTGGTTGGGCAGCGACTCACCGTATAAGAGCCGGGAACAGGCCCAGCCTGCTTCCGCAGAACTGGGCTTTGGGTTCGGGGCACACTGTCCCCGCTGTCAACTGCGGGGGCTGTTTCCCTGGATGCCAGCCAGACCATTCAGGGAGTCGGGGGGTGCAACTTGCACCCCCCATCTCCCGGGCGTCGCGCGCCGGACGCCTGACTCCGAGATTCCAAAAGACTTTTTCTCCCAGGAAGGGGGGTAGGGGCATCCAGGGAGAAAAAGTCCGTTGGAATCTCGGAGTCGGCCGTTGCGCGCGGGACGCCAGGGAGATGGGGGGTGCAGGTTGCACCCCCCGGTTCCCTGGATGGTCTGGGTGTCCGTAGGATTCTCTGAGTCGGGCGTCGCGCGCGGGACGCCGGAGTCCGGCGCTACCATCAGGAGTCCGCGCTCCTGTGTCCGGCGCAACCATTCGGAGTCCGGCGCTACCATTAAGAGTCCGCGCTCGTGTGTCCGGCGCAACCATTCGGAGTCCGCCGCTTCGGCGTCCGCGCATGTGCATCCGGCGCCGCCGTTATAGGAGTTCGCCGCTTGTGTCTCCGGCGCAAGAACATAGGAGCCCGGAGCCAAAATCATCGTTGTTCTCTCCACTGTCGAAGACCATTCTTGCCT